TGCACACAAAGCCTTTTAAAAGCACCTGGGCAAACATATAGTTTTAACTATTATACACTCATCAAAATTAAAATCCAACTAAAGGCAAATTTCAAAAACTGAAAAAAAAATGGTAATCTTGGAATTTAGAAAAACCAGGCCATACATTACTCAAACATGCTTGAAGTAAATATATCTTATTTAATTCAAGCATTCGTTTCTTTATTTTGTTCCATTAAGCTCCAATAAGAATCAAGCATAGTTCACATAATATAATGTTAAAAAATTTGTTCTAAAACTCCAAAAATGTCCCCTCAAAACATAAATTATATTTGGACTCTACTTCAAATTAAGGTTTAAAATCTAAATTACTTTCATGCTTTCCTATTGTTATTAACCTTCACAAGAATCCTTTCATGATGTATTTATTGAGCTCGTCGGAAACACTCGGCCATAGTTTGGCCTTGTTTGCAGGGTAAAACAAAATTGCGAGTAAAATAAATGAATGTTACAATCAAAAGAACAAAAGAGCCCGGCATGTGGCAGACGAAATGCAAGCTGCAAATCATTTGTTATAGTTTCGTAAAAGTCCAACAAAATCCGTTTCGCTGCGATTCTCAGCGCTGTCTCCAAGTCTTAACAATCACCATTTAGCACTGATTTTTATTTCCAAATTAATAAACTGAGCGCAAGTCTTATAAATAGGGCAGCTGTCACCCAGACGGCTTCATGGCCAATAACATCGTCATTCCGATCTGTCAGCAACTCATGCAGTTTATCGCAGCCATAATTTAAATGATTGATGCGAGCCTTTCAAGGCAGGTAAGTCCCGAACTTGCAATTGTTATAAGGTGGCTAGGAATGGGTATCCAGTTGCAGAGGCAATTTACACGCAATTTTTACGTCCGAAAAAAGTGCGACGACAGCCCCATTGCAGCAAATGTTACTCTGGGGAAAATTAAAATGTTCTACGCAATTTGTTTGGCGCGCTGGGCGCTAATCGGCGTGGCAATATCCGAGCTTAAGAGGTCCAGTACTGTTAAGTGTGTATGGTCTTAACAGCTGTTAAGCATATGGTAATAGCATTGCATGAGCAGAGCAGCCTGCGCTTAAGCCAATCGAAGAGCATAGCAGGCAAAGAGAGCCATGGCGGCTGCTGTTAACTTCCGCTCTCTTAACAAACACTCAGACTCTGTAAACATTTCGGCTAAGCTGAGCTAGCAACAAACTAAGCAGTTCTTTTACAATTCACAAATGCTGTGCTATTCGCACGCACAACCCTAAGCTACCCCATGGGCGCTACACCAAGGGCGGCAAATTGACTCATCTGGCAGTTACATTAAATGTTCGTTGGCCTTTTTTGGTAGTAAAAACGTGGCCAATGCCAAGGAAAATTTAACAATGCGGCAAAATAAAAATAAAAGCCCAACAAATTGTGCATGAAATGATGCCCAGGACTCTGGGTCAGGCATCCATTGCAGCCTCAACTTTGGGGATATGTAAAATATATTTCCGTCATTTGAAATTTGCACAAATGAAAATTGTGACAGCAAATTGAATTACCCAAAGCAAGACTAGCGATAACAACAATAACAACACCAGCAACAATGGTGGCGACTACCGCAGTGAAAACAAAACAATAAAAGCTATCACAAAAAGAAAAAACGAGAAGAAAAGTTGAAAGTGTGTCCCTGAAACAAATATGTTGACAAGGCCGGTAAAGAAAAAGCGCCTGCAAAGTCAAATGAAAATCATCAGGCCCAGAGGGCAGCTTCATCCAGCTGCTTCTGCTGCTTGCTGCCCCGACTCCTACACGGTCTTGCCGCTTGTTGCCACATTAGCCACGCCACGCTGTGTCCCCTAATGAGCATGCCAGACATATGCCATGGGCCATGTCCTACCTACATAATCCACCTCCGCCTTCGAATCCCACGCCCCGCCCCTCGTTTGCCGTCTGTCCTCTATCGTCGCGAAGATCTTCCGACTGAAGTCAAATTGGTATATTCTTGAAAAAAAAAACCAGCAAGAGTACTTTCTTGGCGGGGTTGGGGTGCATGGGGCTGTGGCGACCCACAGCATATGCTAGTGTCTGCTGCCCCCAACAGTTGCTTTTGCCATACGAAAGTGTTTTTATTGCTGGATTCCATGCGTCGAACTAACCATAAGAACGCGATTTTTAGGATGCGACAGATGGTCAGCTTTTGTTGAGTTTACCCATTGCGTTGCGAAGGCACCAGAATAAAATTTAGACATGTTCGCATTTATGCATACATATATACATGAACAAAAAACGAAGGAAGTTTCAATTTAGGCAAGGAATAAAAATTCAAATAAATTGGTTTTCATATAAACGATTTCTTTTGAAATCCATATACAGTCAAGAAACTCTAAAGCTTACATAAATATAAATATATTTGTAAAGAAATATATATGTAATGCAATAATAAATATATGTTTATTCTTTTATTAATATTATCTAGTCTGCAGATTGAGATAAATGAAGCTAAAAAGTTCACATCCTGTGCAGCGCAATCAGATTATTTCGGACTTTTATAAAAGCTTATTTCATTGTATAAAACTACATTAATAGAACATTTTTAAGAAACTTAAATTTCTACGAACCTCTTACTCTGAATATTTGTGGACTTGACTGGTGAAAGGCCGCAGAGAAAATTCGATGTAACTTGGAAAATATATTTTTCAAAATATTTAGGATGATTCTGACCTTTAAAAACGATTATTTAATCGTATTAAACGAAATTTAAAGTACATTTTATTTGAAAAGATATTTTTAAAGATATTCAGGATGAATTCTGAACTTTATAAATACTAATTAAACTGTTTAATACTAAACTTAAAGTACATTTGCTTTAGCTGACTATTTCTGGACTTGACAGATAACTGTCGAGCACTGTTGGTAAATTGGGCAACTTTTCAACACTGACTGTGGAATTTTCAGTCGAATAATTTCGCTGCACCACTTTTACAGGCAACATCAATTATAAACGTTCCTCTGGCATTTTGTAGATGCATTAAACATCATTTATTTGGCCAAAAATGTTTTCCGCTTTGTATAGCAAACTGTTTCACTTGTTGATGTGAATGCACATTACGTATACGCAATGCAAATTTTGTATTTCACATAATTCGAATTTACATACATGCTGCAGTGCAGCGGCAGCCAAAATGCTGCGAAAAACAACAAGAACATACAGAAGAAAAAAAGAAAAATCCAGAAAAAAAAAAAGAGATATAAAAACAAACTTTGCGCGGCACATTTTTCACTCGCTGGGTTCCCATTTCAAGTATACGTATTTCAAAAGATGTCTAAACAAAATGCTGAAGAGATTTCTGCTTGGGCTAGGATGCATGTCGAGACTTTATGTTTTTGTTTAGATGCTGACGTCAGCGAGGCGCACATGAGCTATGTGGGAACGTCAGTCCGTCAGTGCGTCAGTCAGTTAGAGAGTTGGTGAGTCAGTGCGTTAGCTTTATCAAAAGTTTCTTTGTGCTGGACTGCAACGAGCTAGTTGCGAACTTGCCGGCTGCTGTTGCAGTTTTGCTTGATTTGCACCAAATTAAGTTGGCCCCCATCCGGGCAGTAGACCATGCCCAATAGCCCAGCCCCAGATCCGTGCCGTGCCGTGCCGTGGCCGTCGTCGTCGTTGTCGTCGACTGGCTGGCTGGCGGACGACCTGCGCCACTGGCTGCTGCCCAAAAATGCAATAAAATTAAATGCTTTTATGTAAAAACTTTATGACTTTGTGTTTATGCTCGCTACACGCTCGACGCCCCGACGCTGTCTACTCCGCAGCCTTCACCCCACGGCGCGCCACGCCACGCCATGCCACGCCGCGCCAGGCCATGCCACGCCTATGCGATGTCTTCTTCTTGGTTGGACTTTAGCTTGGCCTGCTTTAGTTTTTGTGGCCGGACAGTTGTTGTTCTCGTTGTTGTTGTTGTTATATTGTTACTGCCGCCTCGCATGTGTTGACAGTAATTAATTTAACTGGCGTAAATGAAATTTATATGGCCAACAACACATTGCCTCGTACTTTGTCGTTGCAATTTGTCCAAATGTTGCACAGTTGCGCTGCCCGTTAAATTCTTCTAAATTGCTGTTGCTGCAGCGCTAAGTGGCCAAAGTAGCTGACAGGCCTGACGGCAATAGAGTATATGCAAACTGCACTTTTATCTTTGATCGCCGACTTTCCCCTAACTAGTTTTTCATGTCTTATGCAAAACATTGCAAGAGCTGCAAATGTTTGTTTGTTTTAAAAGGGAAAATTACATTTTTCAGATTATATGGAAAATGAATTGTTCGAGAATGTAATTGGCATTATTATTTATTAATTTAGGCACACATTTTTCCAATATAACTCAATTATAAATAAACTTCGTACTATGCAGAAATGCAAAAAATATATAACTTCTCTATTCATTAGAGAAAAAAATATATCAATCCCTCTTTATACAATGACCTAATAAGAGACTCCTACAGAGAAGTCAAAGAGATTAACCTATCCTAAATTTATAAATTTATTAAATATATTAAATTGAACCTGTAAAGATCATTATTTAAATTTTTTTTAATTATTTAAATTTTTTTCTTCTCAACTAATCGATTAAATGGCACTATATTTGTTGATAATTATTTTAAAAAATGTTGAGAGCTTCTAAAATTAAATTGTATCTTAAATTTAAGAACAAATTGTATCTTATAGTTCAGCTTTCTTTTAGCTTTGGATCTTTTCATATCTGCATTTCGTAAATATGAAACATAGTTGCTTTTACTTTCCTTTTCGGCACGTTTAACCTTCAGCAGAGACGTGGCAAGTACGACATAATAACAGCAAAGAAAGTTCCTAGTAGAGAGTGCTATGGTTCAAGCTGCCCTTTACCAAAGAATATACAGTAATATTGCATCCATTCCTATTCTTTCCTATATCATAATTATAATATTATTTTGTTACTCCAGTTGAAAATAAAATTATTGTATACCCCTTCTTACCTATTTACAGGGTATTATTAAACATACATGCATACTTTTACCTTTGATGGACTACGTCTATGTCTACTTGATTTGGGTCCTCCTTTGACCTATAAAAGGTAAGTTTACATACTTAAGAACTTCTCTTGTCTGAAGAAGCAAATAAAAAAAATGGCAATTAGCTTATAATATCGTTGAGAAACTTTCGCAAAACAGTCGTAAAAGTGCTGTGAAAAAGCGTCTCAAGCAAATGGAGCTGAAAAGTACAATAATTTTTGGTCTTTTTATCTGGCAAAGTTAGCAAGCAGCATCAACAGGCAAAATCAACAACAGTAATTATAATTTGTTCGCAATAACAAAAATACTTAATTACTTAACTGTCAAAATATGCAGCAGACAGCGCAGCTTGCCACAGAACTTTGCAATTTAAATTTCGTTGAAGTTAGAAAAGCGAAATTTAAATGGGCATGCTTATAGACAGATGATTAGGCTTATAGCTTTTAATTCTTATATGGTTGTGGATTAAAGTCTTTGTCTGACAATAATTTGGTCGGTCATTAAAAAAAAATTAATAAAAAATAAAATAAATGGGCGCTATCGATGGGACAGATATTGGTTAGAGCTTTAGCGACTCTTTTATTTATATTAAACGAAATCATAAATAATTAGATAAAAGATACTTCCTGTTGAGAGTTAATAAGTATCTCAATATGCAATTTGATAAAGTATTCTAATCCGTCTAGTGTTAAAAAGGAACGTAAAAAAAGCTTGTAATTATAAATAATATGTAAAATCTAAAGAAAATTTCAGTATTTAAATTTTGCTTTTACATCAGTTTTCAGCATATTTAAGATCCGTTTGTCGGCAGCCCCTTTTCACATTAAATATATATTATATATTTATTCTTGATCAGTATGAACATTCCATTTAATATATAATCTTAGAGCTGTAGATCTTATTCCAGACTCACATATACATCAACATAGCATTTCAGTTCCCTAATCCTTAGCAGATCCTTGAGATTGAAAAGTTTACGCATTCAAAGATTTATTGCCTTCCTTTTCCTTTACAACCCTTATTTCTGATACAACCCCAATTTTGCAATTTTGCAACACTGCAATGATTAAAACATTAACATAGCAATTATAATGTGTGTATAAATTGGCAATTAAATTGTCTTTGATCATTAAAATCAATCTAAAAATAATCTGTTAAATGTAGAGCACCTGAATTCCCCGATTATAACTTTTGATCTGGACTTACCAAAGTCTGCTTATCAGAAGCCCCCTCACAGACTTAGCACACAGCCAATGCTGCGCACTCAAAAGCCTATAGATAATCTACTAGAATCAAAAGAGAGAAAAAAGCAGACCGAATTTTCAAATATACACTTGGTGGCACGCACAAAGATATGCACCGAAACTGTCAACGTCAGCGGCATGGGGCATTAAATCATTTAAACTGAAAAGGACAGGGCCAGAGGGCAACGAGTGCCACGACTCGTTGCGATAGGTTCACACAACACACTTCCGCTGCCATAGAACAGCAGCAACAGCAACAACAACAACAACGACAACGACAAATGGCAGACCGTGTTGCCAACAAGCAAACAAAAAGTTTACGCTTCATAGCACAAATTGAATAAATCATCAAACGTCGAGCGGCTGCGATTTGCAAATGTGGGCAGGGTTGTGCCGCATGTAGAAAGGCTACGTGCATAATTGTTGCGCGAAATTGCCTAAAAAAGCGGCGATATAAACATGACAAAAGAAAAAGGTACATCAAAAAATATTCTAAACTAATTAGTTAAGTTTCCTCCAGTTAGGAAATGCTACGCACAGACTTATTCGTTCAGCACCTTAAGAAATTTGAAAACTGCTCCGGCAGCACTCACACAATGTTCATTAGGATCAGGGTATTCCCATTAATAGATATTATTTATTTTGCATGCTAACCATTTATTGATATTCAACAGGCATTGTAGTATGTTTGTTAGGAAAACATTATGCAAAGTGTTCGAGGAATATAATAATAATAATATAAGCCCAATTACAAGGCGTTAATTTATTTATAAGCGGATGGTCATCCTGCGGCTAATCTGCTGAAAAAATTGTTGCATTGACAAGAAGAGCCCAATTAGGAAATTAACAAGCTAGCGTGTGGCAAAAAGAAAGCCAGTATGCGTGTCTATAAACTTTTAGGTATACCTATTTAAAATTTAATCTGTCAAGCAAAATTGATATAGTTTCAAATTGTTCAACACTAGAAATTTGATCGCAAATTTAAAATACAAAATAACAAAGGTAAACATATAAATATGCATAATGTCAATGTTTCATTTATATGTCAATATTTTAAATATATATCCAAAGTCGGTTTAAAATTAAATTAAAAATTTTAAATCGCAGAAAATTTGCTTACCGTATTTATTATATTATTAATTTTCATTTTGATCAATCACCCAAGCGCACACTATTTAGTTTTGTTTTCACATTAGTTTTAACCTATAATAAAAACAAATTTAATTGTTTTTAACATTTGGCTTACTCGTTTTTCATATATACACACAATACTTCAAACCAGAAACTAATTTATTCAAGACCCTCCAACGAATTACTTAAATTTACCCACAACTGTTTTCATTTATGAACTTCAACTGCGCAGGGCTCAGTATCACAGAAAAGCCACTCGGCTAAGATGTGTCGCTTAGGAACGTATGTCTGAAATTGGGGTAAATATATAACTATACGATCAGGTCTTTAATTACGTTTTCTATCAGATTTTTAATCGCACTGCTCCTGGTGATGGCTGTTGCCCAACAAAATAACAAAGTTCCACTATCCGTGAGAAGAAGTCCACTTTTAGTGATAGTTTGCCCCCCAATGCCAATGATGCAGAATGTTTTAAAGGATAAGGTTTGTTTATTTGCAATTTGCAACAGATACATTTGCCATAAATATGTGCTTAATAGCTGTTGGGCTTCTGGTTCGCCTATGCAACGACACCGCTGCCCTTTGAAAAATATCAGCGACGATGCATCTCCCACAATGTCAAGGACAGCAGTAAGTATAGGCAATTCCACTTAATTTGAGCTATCTGTCATCAGCTAATGACCGTTGTCAGCACAGGCTTCTTTAATACCAGCATACTTTATGCCAACTATCGTGGAATGGCAATTACATATCATTGTGTATTTGCTTCAAGAGTGCGCAGGTTTCAAAGTGAGTGAAAAGAATAATAATAATAATAATAATAATAATAATAACAATAATAATAATAATAATAATAATAATAATAATAATAATAATAATAATAATAATAATAATAATAATAATAATAATAATAATAATAATAATAATAATAATAATAATAATAATAATAATAATAATAATAATAATAATAATAATAATAATAATAATAATAATAATAATAATAATAATAATAATAATAATAATAATAATAATAATAATAATAATAATAATAATAATAATAATAATAATAATAATAATAATAATAATAATAATAATAATAATAATAATAATAATAATAATAATAATAATAATAATAATAATAATAATAATAATAATAATAATAATAATAATAATAATAATAATAATAATAATAATAATAATAATAATAATAATAATAATAATAATAATAATAATAATAATAATAATAATAATAATAATAATAATAATAATAATAATAATAATAATATTAATAATAATAATAATAATAATAATAATAATATAGATGATACTAATACTAATGATAATAAAAATATCAATGATAATGATAATACTATTGATAATAATTATTATTATTATTAATAGTTTTATAATAAAAGGCATAAAGGTTTTAAAAGTAATAAAACATTTAAAATAATAGTAAAAGCAATATCAATAATAATAATAACAATAACAATAACAATGATAATGATAATAATAATACCAACAATAATGATAATAAATTAATAATCAAATCAAAGATAAAAATGATACTAATGAATTATTATTATTATTATTTGACCAATAACACATTCAACAAATTTGCAATCTAATGAAATCTCATTCCTAGTGATTCTTCGGCTGCTAACCCGCACGCGCACCCCCATGCCGGAAATCATATATGAAGCGCTAGCATTTTTGAATAATGTTAGCTTTCCCGTTTTTGCATTGGAATGGCTAAAAACCGAAGCATTCTGCTTTGAATTATATGAGCTGAAATTCGAGACACAAATGCGACCGATACATTATCAAGCGCCCTTTAATCAGCGCGGCGAATTGGGCTGACGCCGACAGCGTAAACATTAATTGCATAAATGTTCAATTATTGTAACATAATTTGTGATCTACAAATGTTATCGAAGAATCACTGATTAAAATGAGGAAATCGTATAATGGCAGGGCCCCAACTTAATTAGCATTGTTGACCACCGAAATCAATTACGCCTCGACCGTATCGGCCAATAATGTGTTCACGATGATTTCATGTGCCTCGAGCACATATGGTGGCCAGGATACTGGGCCGACAGCCTCCGTGGCCATGACAAGGGGCCTTTAATGAATGATGCCATGGCCTCCCTCCACTGTGCGCCTCCCGCCCACGAGCCTCCACTCAATTTATATATAGTATATATATATATATATGTTTGCGACCTCCCGAAAACTTTCCATGAGCCCAAAATTATCTTTAGTTTGTTTTTTTTTTTTGTCGGTTTATTTTTTGTGGGTGTTTGTTTGGCTTCCTTAGCCCAAATTGCTTGGCCGCACAAATTGGCTTTAGCCTCAGGGCCCGGCAATAAAATCAAACTCACGCAGGCGTATGCGTAACGCACAATTATCCCTCATTGAGTGGGCGTGTCTGCACTCGAAGGGATAACAGTCGGTCGGGTCCTGTAATAATTGTCATTGTCAAGCGGATTCTGAGCGGACAATTTCGCTGCCAGCCAACAATATTATGAGCTGTACTTCTAAAGCAATTTGATTTCAATTTTGGCCAAATGTCATGCAAGCTGTGGGCATCAAATTAATTGACCTAAGATGCTGTGCAATTTAAGATAACTTTAAGGCTTAGCAAATAAGTGAAGGTACTTGAGGCAATTGATTATATAATCATTTTTTAAACAGCTCGTTGTCGGGCTATCTTGGTTAGATTTTTGGTCTCATGTATGGGGGACTAAAGATAAACGGATATTTGGATAAACTAATGATAATAAAATATCAAAACTACCTGGTATATATATTCTTGATGACCAGGCGAGTTGGTAGAGCCATCTGTTTAGTTATAATTATTTGTTTAAAATATTTCTACTTTTACATTTATCAATTGAACAAACCTTAGCTTATTTATATATATATATACATATATATTTATTTTAAAAAATTTTCATTTTTTGGCACAGCTTACGCTCTTCTATATAAATGCTAAGTACAACATTCAACCACAAGTCAATGCAACAACGTTTTAGACCCAGATTATATTTGTTATTGCTGTTGTTGCTGTTGTTGTTGTTGTTGTTGCTGTTGCTGTTGCTGCTGCTGCTCTTCGCATCGGCCTGTTGCCATTCAATTTGATCTGTTTGTTTCATTTTGTTGTCGTTGTTGTTGCTGCTAATGCGCCTGGCTCGCCATTGTAACAACTTTATGGTTAGTACGTTTTATTTCAAACGATTTACTTTTTAACCAGTATCCGAGCTCTAGACCAATGTAATCGACTAGACAATACCCTGGCAAGCAGTTGTAAAACTTCTTTAAGTAAAATGAGGTAAAAAATTTAAAAAATTTATTTTTTTAACACTGAGAGCGTTAATTATTTTCTAAGTTAACTTTAAATGTCACGTAATATGTTGCAATTCATATTCCACTGATTTCTTAACATTTATAGAAGTAACAACAATAATATTTTAAAATGTTTTCCCTTCGTTTGTGACCGAAAATCTTAAATTGGCAGGCACATAGTTTTATAATATTTTGCCGAATATTTTTGAATATTTTATATTTACAAAAGACCCTAAAAATTATGTATTTAGCGTCGACTCCGCTCATGCTACTGATAGAAAAATGTATACATGTACACCCTGCCTGACTTTAACAAAGGTCTGCACGTATCTATTCGAAGTATACAGGGTATTAAAAGCTCAGTAATTTTGATGTCCGTGCTGGCTAATGTTGTTGTGGTTGTTTTCTGCTTTGTTTCAATTGCATGACGCTTTCAGCAATTTCAAGTTCAAATCGCTTTTTATGGTTTTTTATGTAATCACGTAAGCGGCATTTGTATAACACTCGTACTAGTAATACGGACAGCAATTTCCATCAATGTTTTTTTTGCTAGCGACGGGGAAATTATTTTGGTTTTCGTGTTTTTTGTTTATAGTTTATGGAGCTGCAATCCAAAGGCAAGTCGCAGCTATTGGGTATAAACATGAAAATATCTTTTATTTGCGCATGGCAACTCTTAATTAGTTCAAGAAGTTCTTTTGGTACGACCTGCTGATGGCTGTTTGACTGGTTCCACCAGTTTCCGTGCGTCGTTGTCGATGTAGCTGCTGCTGCTGCTTTTTTTTTGTATTTGAGTTGAGTTTAGAATTTCAATTTCGTTTTCGTTTCTTTCACGTCAAAGACAAAAACATCGCGCAAAACCAACAACAGGCCCATAGAAGACAACAAAGATGCGAGCTGAGAGATGATGACAACAACAACAACAACAACAACAGAAATTACCATTTATTGATGTGATAATCTAAAGATCAAGGTCTTCCTTTTGCCATTTCAATAATCGTTGTCGTTCCTCGACGTTCAAAGCTTTTAGAAATAACGAAACTAGAATTTGTTTGCCACATTTGATTTAAATGAATGATACGACAGCTTTTGCTACAAAATTTGCAGATTAGAAAAAACAGACCCAACTAAAAGGCAAGCTTCCAGACAGGAAATGCTGCAAATTCGAGCAAGAGTTCGTCTGACATGGATTCACACATACCCACACACACACACACACAAACAAAGCAAAAACGAAAGTTAAGCAGCAAAAGTGGAGCACGAGCTGCTTCTGGGGGATTCAGTGTATTCCGTCAAAGGGTAACCCAGACGTACCTAGTCAAATCCAAGCATATGCAAGTCTAATGAGCCTGGAGGTAAAGCAGAAATGCAATTCAAATGCAGCAAATACCACTGCCACTCACTGAGGATTTGCTTTGATTGAGGTAAAATCAGTAAAAGTGGCATTAGAAAGATGAGTGCATGTATGTCATAGCTGCAGCAACATACATTCACATTCCATACGAAGTTTGTACGTTAAGTTTCTTAAGAATTTATATCAACAATTTATGCTCAAGGCACAAACATGCCCGGAATTATGCGGGCAGGAAATACATGAAAATTCCGAAAAATACCAACAAAATAAATCTTATCAAAGATTTACCAGTTTTTAATGAGAATGAATGAATATTGCTTAAGGTAAAACCATGATTAAAATGCCATCAATCTTTAGAATTGCTTCAGTTTATGGAAATTTTATGTATAAGAAGGGCATTTACTGGAAATTTGTGCTGTTACAAAATGTAATACATATAATTACTTGTATAATTACAAAAGAGCTCAAACCATGATCAAGATGTCATCTATTATACAAATCGTTTCAAATTAAACAATGACTAAAATGTAATCTCCTATTAAAATTGATTCAAATAGAAGGCCAGGAGAGGCATCTACTATATGAATAATAATGAAACAGAATAATCTTTAATGGGATATATAAGCAAAATGTATCTTTGCCTTTCCGGACATAACATCTAGCTCCACGCCGGGAATATGGGTGAATAAATTACAATTAAATATAATCAGCAAAGACTTTGATTAGATTCACTTTTTTCTGGCACCCAAAGAGACAAATATACACTTATTTGTATAACTTATTTTGTATAATAATGTTCCTATATATGGATTAATTCTTCCACATTCATCGACATACAACTTTGATGAAGTCAGTTATAAAACAAAATCAGTGCCACATTCGATGAGGAAATGAGCCGTAATGCTCACAAATGTGTCACGCACAAAATCACAAATAAATGAGAGAGTGCACAGAAAGTTCGCTGGGTTCATCAAGTGGGGGCAAGCGGCAACCATAAAGAAAACAAATCCAAAGTGTTTCTTTGCTGCCAAAGAAAAAAAAAAAAAACAAGGCGCAACAGCAGAATTTTATGTTGATAAGCAAAGTAGCAGCGGCACCAAAAAGAGCAGTCCCCGAAAATAAAACAAATATAACCAAGAAGAGGGCGTCAAAGTTGACGCTTATCTGCGCCTCATTTGCCAAACAACAAAAGCCTCATCAATTTCATAGCCAGGGCGAGCGAGAGATTCGGGCAGCAGCTCAAATCGTAAACAAGAGGTGACAGCAAACAGAAGACATGATAGAGCAGCTAGGAGAAGGAGGAGGGAGGGAACATTGCCAAAAAATGGGGAAAAAAATGGAAAAACGTGGACAGTATTGCGGCAAAGTTCACTCAACTTTCAACTTGTAATTTGTCATTGTGCCAGCACCATGAAAACTGAAAGCGACACCCGGCAGCTGTCGTGGACTAGGCAAAGTGGCCGCCACAACGTCATCATTGGGGCCGGCCATATAAATATTCAAAATCATGTGCGCCAGTGGCAGCTTTTGACCAGACACCTCCACCAGCTGCTGCTACTGCAACACTGCGTATACGCAATAAAATTTATGTGCCTAGCAATGCTTAATGCAAATGCCTTAACTGTCGCATTTTTGTGGAGAAAACGGAATGGAGGCCTCGTCGTTGTCGTTGTCCGCGTGGGTGGTGATTAATTTGCGTATTGTTCTTTGAGATATATATCTTTCTTGCATATTTTTTTCCCCGTCTTTATTGTTTTTTATTTCTTTCTTTTTTATGCTCTTCCACTCAGTTGACAACGTTCAACGAACGCAGTAGACAATATTCTGTTTTAGCATGAATTATGACATTATTAACATACATGATATACTGGTTAATTTCTTAACGGGTTCGCAGTTGCCTCTGGGCTTAAACTCCTAAAGCGTACAGGACATTCGTGAAAATTGATTATTTTGCTGTTTTCCTTTTATGTCTATTTATAAAATCAATCTAAAATTAAACCATATGAGCTATGAAGGGAGGAAATGTCGCGGGAATGGTTTTATGAAACTTTTTTGTTTACCTATCAATCGTCTTCAATCCCATTTTCAAGGATCTTTTTGAAAATTCATCTGACTCGTTTCACACTTTTCGCAAAATCCCCGCTTCTTGGTTGAAAATCGCAGATGAAAAGTTGATCGAGCGAAGTTCTAAGTTTCGTCCGACTGGACTCAAACTTATTTACAAAGCAGAACATTTAATAAATATGTGTTTCAGCGATTTTGGAAATTTTACACGCAGTCGATGAATTTGAAATATATTTTTTTCAAATATACTTGTAAAATTTAACTTAAGACGTGGAGTTTACAATCGTGGATTTTAATTTAACACGGGCGGAAACAGGATGAAAAATTATATCTTAAATTTTAAGCATTAAATTTGCCACGGGCAAGGCCAGAAAATACCCGCAATATGTAGCCAATTGTATGTATGTATGTGTATGTGTGTGTGGGTCTATGTTTGTATGTATGTATGTATGTATATCTGTATTTATGTATGTTTGTTTGTATTTATTATATACAAGTATTTTGTACAAACGCAATTAAGTATTACAAATGTATGTGTGTGGGTGCATGTATGTGTGTATGTATGTGTGTGTGTGTATGTATGTATGTGTGTGTGTATGTATGTGTGTGTGTATGTATGTGTGTGTTTGTGTGGGCGTGTGTATGTTAGTGTATACGTGCCATCTTCTTTTCTAATACCAAACGCAGACCAAGGTTATTCGTCGCTGTGCTGCAAATATAAATAATACGAATTTCTGCCAAGTGCTCTTCTCCTCGATTCTCAAGAATTCAAGTAGGCTCTGCACTTTTTCATGCTTAGCTAGTAGTGTAGTGTTTTTTTTTTTTGCTTATTTTTTTGGTGTTTTTTATTGGTATTTTTTTTTGGTGTTTTTTTGTATGTTTTTTGTTTATTTTTTGTGTATGTATGTGTATGCATGTGTGCATGTATGCATGTATGTACATATGTACGCATGAATGCATGTATTATGTATGCATGTATGCATGTGTGCATGTATGCATGTTGGTATGTATGCATGTATGCATGTATGTATGTATGCATGCATGTATGAATGTATGAATGTATGCATGCATGCATGTATGTATGTGTACATGTACGCATGTATGCATGTACGCATGTATGCATGTATGTATGTATGCATGTATGCATGTAGTGGCTATGGCTTTTGCACTATCAATTTTAAATGTGGCCATTGAAAACTGGTACGTATTATAAACATAACTATCTCTTTTTATATTTTAAATATAAATAACAAACATAACAATATGTAGGCATATTTGTTTATATGTTTATGAATACGTGCATCTATGCATGTACTCAAATATGTGTGTATGTTGAGCCGAGCTGAAAATGAAAAAAAAACATTTTACAAATATTGCTCTACTATGCGATTCTCACCAATTCAAGTAAGGTTTAACAAGCAATCTGCGTTTTATGCTAATGATCATTTTCTCTACTTTTCTGTTCTTTCAGTGATGGATTTGTTTAAAAGTTCGTCTCCCGCCCAATGATAGATGACAATAAAATAATGCGTGTGAATTTACAGGTAAGTACCAATTACAAATATATCTCTATGTATAACTTCAAATAACTCATAGACATAGATCAAAATGTTTTCGTTGTACGAAAATTAAATAATGTTTCATGAAAAAATATACCAATTGCTAACAGAACCCGCGAGGTGGGCAAAACGTCAATTTTTCCCAGAAGCAAAACGATTCGCATTATCATCATCATTATCATCAGCATCATTATCGGCCAGTTATGGAATGTAAAATGTAATTTATAAATACCAAGAATTATGGATATCTGTCCAAGTTAATAACTGGTTTCTACACACAGCTACATGTTGGCAATAAAATTACAATAAATGCCCAAAGCGGAAGCAAATTCTACAAATTTCATTTACAAACAGTCCTTGAAACTAGCGAACACGCCGGTCTGCCAGTTGGTAGCCACTTTGGAAGAAAAAAAACGGCAGGTGAAGCAGATATTAGCACTTTGCATTGCAGGAAAACCATCAACGGATTCACCGATTTGATATTAAAATGAAGAGGCGCTCGCATAAATCGCATAAATATGCTAATTTGCCTCACGAGAGACGTTTTTGCGCTTTGCGGCCAGGCATTTGATTTGATATGTGTATATAGATTTTTATGTCGCATTAACTTAAAATTCAGCTTTGCCCAATTAGCATAAGTTGGGTGTGTGTGTCTGTGTGTGTGTGTGTGTATACATATAACACACGTTCTAGAACAACAAAAGTAAAAGTAATTTTGCAGCTATTGGCATTAAGACTTAAATGACGAAAAACATTTTGTACGAATTGGGTCAATGGAATGATGAATAAAATTACTGCCGCAAAAAAAAAAAAGTAAATAAAATAAAATAGCAAGCAACAGAAGCCAAAGGAACAAGTTTAAATTACATTTAAATGCACGTCGTATCATAAATTTTAATTAGCCCAAAATGAAAGCTATAAAGCAACTGCCACCGCGAGACAATTTCAAAGAAACGCAAATCATGCGAAAACATTAACGTTGTCAAATGTTGGCCCGATAAAGGCAACGGTGCGTATGTGTGATGTGTAGAAAAGCAACAGTGCGTATGTGTGATGTGTGTGTGCTACAGGGCATCTGTAAATAATTGAAAATATGTGCTGTCGCATTTTGCCATGAATACAGCTCGCGTATTGCTTTCAGAGTGTGTGTCTACGATTGGCTTGCTTTTCTAAAGTATTTTCTCCTGCTTCCGCAACAGACAGACACACTATGAGTGTCAGACAAAAGGCAAGGCAGAGCTCTCCGCGCGATAAGCAGCCTCAAAGCTCGTAAAAGGTTCGAAATTGGAATAAAATGAAACGCTAAGCACAACGAAATATGAACTCGCAACTGGCAACTCGCAACTGGCAGCAACAATCAGCAGCTTAATAAAATGCGTAGACAAGAATCTTAAAGTCAACGCAGTGCCACAAGAATCCATGATAAGTCCGAGGGTGAGACTGAGACTGAACCATGGCAGATGGCAGCAAGCAGACACCAACCAAAAAAAAATATAAAAAAACCCCAAATTTGAATGGTTCAATGGTTCAGTTGGCGCGACGGAATTCGAAGCGGATTTTGGACAGACATTAGACGAGGGCGTTGGCAATTGATTAAATTTATTTATTATATCACAGAATGTTCGTTTTATGAGCTGCTCTTAGGCGTAATCACCAAGAGTTGTCCATGCAGGAAGTCAGCTAGTGGGCAGGGTTTGCCAATTTAGTTGTCCTGCTCGATTTGTCTCCCCTACCCCCTGCCCCCGCCTTCCTCCGCACATTCATTGATTGGTGGCAAATTGATTTTGGTCAGCAATTTGGAACGTGAAGAGACGACGACAACCCACCAAAGTCGATGATATCGCTCGGAAAGCCTTTTGTTCGTCAATTGAATTCACAGACTGTTGTTTAGAGGTAGAGATTATCCAACCAGCTGATATATGATATTGGCCAACATACACATATATATATATATATTATGTGCTTTTGTGCCAAGTTGGACTAAACGGACTGCGCCAGAGAACGTGTCATGACAGTTTCCCCTAGCGGAAATGCAATTCTCTCTCTACGTGAGATGTTTGGCTTTTATATGTTGTCTCTTTTTGCTTAAAATATAATTAGCCAAGGTATTAATGTGACTGTGGACTGTGGTATTAATGACTTACACTTTAAATAAATAAATAAATAAAAAATATTTATGTACATATATTTAATTCACATATTTATTTAACTTAAAGAAAAAGAATATCTAGCTGCATGAAATGGGCATATAACGCTTTAATGCAGTTTCCAACACAGCTGGGCAGCGATTTGAGAAATTTTTCAGCACTGCACTTTCAGGCCTTTTTTAACACAGCTACTCAGCGATTTGAAAGCGTTAGGCAAACCGCAAAGAGACAATAAACGACAGAACAATGGAAATAGGGAAAATTAATCGAAATGAAATCAATGCAGACCGTTCTTTATATACCCTGTATTGCCTTTTAATTATAATTTAATTCATCATCTTCAATTTATCAACACATATTTAAATAAAGTAATCAAACACTTCGCAAGCTTCACTGAGGCATTTTCGTTTATGTTTATATAAAGGTTCTATAAAAGAAATACATTTCTTTAATAATTAGTTATAAGCGGTTATGCCCTTTTGGTTAGTGGTAAGCGGTATTGGCTAATTGCAGCTAAAAATTTTCAAAAAGCCATGAGAGCTGATGTGCGACCAGCAGTTCAAACAATGTCCAGGAAATTCCCATTTAGTCATTGTCATTGTCAGAGTGACAATTCAACCATAACAATTTAGAATGCGCTAATCGAGAGTAACCGACAATGAGATACTCCGTTTGCTGATGTCAAATAGTTAAAAAAATGAACATAAGTATTTAAATCTAAGAGTTATGTTACACGCGTCTAAAATACCCTGTGAACATGTTTTATTAGGGTATTTATGCAGGTTTCCAGAGCTGGAAAGCGTGGATCATTTATATATAAGAGTACTCAAAGTGTGTCTATCACATGATAAGCTGAAGAGCGTGAATCAGTTATATATATCAGAGTTTTCAATATATGCCTGTTACATGCATTAGTTAAAGTCTAGAATACCCTATGTGATATGTTATGATAGGGTATAACAATGCATTTTTGCAAAATAGGCTTCCAGAGCTGGATTGCGTAGCACAGCAGTCTAATATTTCCTTTAGCATCAATACAAATCTAATCTCGCACCGGATGTGCGCCAAAGCCAAGTTTTATCTCATTTAATACGCATTGACTTAACCCTTAAGCGGCTCTTGACCCAACCAATTGTCGGCCCAAATGTGCGTAAGTGCAGCCATATGCTAAAATTATGTTGCACAACAGTTTTAGCTGCCACACACAGAAATGCAATTTAGCCAAATGCTTTGGACCGACAGTGAAAAACACTCACGACGCCGTCGTGATGCAAACTCAGCATCGTTGTTGGGGCACATCAGCGGACGGGCACTTTAATAAAGTGCAGCCCAAATTGTGGGCCGTTGTTGTTGTTGCTGTTGTTGTTGTTGTTGTTGCTGCTGTTGGCATCGGCATTGTTGCTGGTGCAGTTGCAGCCACCGTGGCGTCAATTATCGCCGCTGTACGCAAAGTGGGCCAGGCAAATAATAAACGCGCCCAGAGCCGCGTCGTCATCAGAGGCACTCCATTGTCAAATGAGCTTAAACAGGGTGCCACGCCTCAATGAAGTGCCTCCCCCCCCTCCCCCTCCCTCGACACGGCTTACGTCCGTCTCGTTCATTTATGCAGCAATCTTTGCCTGCAGTTTCGTTTTCATCTTTTTATATACCCTTACAGAGGGTGTTGTAAGCTCATCTCACGAAATGTGTAACGCACAGAAGGAGACAGCACCAAGCAGCTTAGCTATATATATATATATATATTCTCGATCAGTATAAGCAGGCGAACTGAAAAGGCCATATTGTATTTTGCTTTGCAATTCAAATCGCACCGCTATATTCTAAAACTACCATGGGAATAAAAGGTCTTATATGAAAAACTTATATATAAGCAAATATTATATAAGCAAATTTTTATCAATATCGAAATACTATATATATAATATAATATATAATACTCAGCAATTACGATCTTTACTACTCTCCCATTCGTAAAAGAGCAATCGCTCTGAAATGAAACTTTTCTTGAAAAACCTTTTGAAGGGTATTTAATCGGCGGCATGCCCAAGAGAGAAGTTCTTTCTGTTTTTCTTTTTCTTCTTTTTTTTGTTTTCTTCGCCATTTTCACGCCTCACTTGACGACTCGTTCGCTGATTGATGGCGACCTCAACTTCAACTTGGACTTCGACTGCGACTGCGACGTCGACGCCGACTGCGCGCAGGTGTCGCCGCCTAATTAAGCGAAGGCAACGCGCACGCATGCGTAACTCAATCGGTAAATATCGACAGAAAACGCGCCAATGCCTCGCCCCCTGCACGCCCCCCACATACCACGACACATTCTGTATGTGTGTGTGTGTGTGTGTGCGTGCGTGTAAAATGGGTCAATATGCAATTATTGCATTTTTTCTTCATATATATATTTTTTTCCACTGTGCCCAGCTTTGTTTGCGTCGCTGCGTAACTCGAATAGTCGCTGCCCAGGGAAAGGGTCCACACGTCCCATTCCGGCTACTCGACGAGATCTTGATTTGTCAATATTTGCGCAATTGTGCTCGATGTGCGATTGCGAATTCGCGGAACTGCATAGAACTGAACCGAACGACAATTACATAACTGACAACATTATCATGAATTTATTTTTATTTTCTCAACAAATTCAAAACTGTATTGAAATTTATTTTTAGTGCTTCATCATTTTCGTAAGTCCATAGCTCGTAAATGAATCGAAATCTAATTCCTCATATAGCTCTTGTGCGCATCATACAATACTTAAGCTCAATTTGTTGCACGTTTCGGGCAGTATAGTACTTATTTGTTAAAGAACTTTGCTCATTTCCGTCAGGTTCATTTGCCAAGTTCAAGGTGACCATTTGCATAAAAGCTACACAGAAACAGAAACAGAAAAAAAATGGCATTCATAACCATATTCGTGTGTATTATTACTCATGCATAAAACGCTCACCTTTGACAACGAACCCACCACAAAATACATCATCATAATAAAAGCCACTTGGTAGTATTTGGAGAAGTCGCCAAAGAGTCACCTCGCATGCTCTTTGGGCTTGACTCAAAAAATTATTCAGCTACCAAATGCACTCAGAACATCTCTGCAACGCCCACGATCTGAGAGAGCGAGAGAGAAAAGAGCGAAGAGAGCGTTCGAAGCTCGCGTCACTTGGCTGTAACACT